CAGGAATAATCCAGAGATTCCCAGATGGCAGACTACAGGTTGAAAACCACTGATCTACAGATATCATTTGGATAGTCCTCCTAAGGTTTTAATATTCAGCTGAAGTTGAACACCGTCCAAATGGCAGTGTAAGACCAAGAAACTCATGAGCACCTTCTTTATTTGAGATTTCTCATATATCTAGACTGAGTGAATAATGATATAAAGCCTATAAACAAATGAAAATTAAAAATAATTTAAAAGCTGAAACTGTAGTGTCTGAAAGGTCCTGCAGATATTGACTTTACAGAAATACAAGGAAAGAGAGAGGCAAAAGAGGTAGCTGAGCTTCTTCAATTTCAAATAAGGTTAACTTAGGAATCAAATTAAACTTTCTAATGCATACTTCTAATGTTTCCCTCAATTTCTCATTATTTTCTACAGGACCATGGCAATGGTCAAGGTATTACATTTAATTCCTACAGCAAGACTTCTATAAGTTAACATTTTCTGTCTCCAAAATAGTCATCCCTTTCAAGATGTTCATTTACAAAAATCAAACATATTCTCACTATATTTCTTAAAAACAGTGAATCAGTTAGTAAGGAGTTATTTTTTAAATTAAGCTTTTTTTCCTAAAGCTTAGGTTTAATTCCCTAAAACCCCGGAGTGTAGGGCTTCTTACCTGCTGTCAGACTATCCGTCTACCCTCTATCTCCATTCCCTCAGAAAAATAAATAAAAATAATTATATCCCTGTTACCTGGACAATAATTATATCCCCTGTTACCGTGTTACCTGGACCCAGAAATGGCAAAGTCTGAATTTCAGAGTCATATCAGATATGTGAGCAGAATGCTGCTCTGAAGGGTCTACATAACAAGTTACAGCATTAATAGTAAGCACACTACGGTGTAGCAGCAATCTGGAAAAATGCCTAAACCTTTCACAAGTATTTTCTTTCTCCTTTACAGCTTTTACCTTCTCTCTCTCACCACAATCTAACAGGGTGCTCAAGCATGCTGCCAACTTCAAGCACATTAAGTACTCCCTCTGCGATACGTGCATACACTATTTTCAAATACAGCATCACACATACACATGGTTGAACCTGGACCTATGTCTGGAAATGTGATTCCTGTTCAAGGAGCTCTCCGTTCCTGTCTTCAGCCTGATTTCAGACAAATACTCTTATTTAGGAAAGACTTTTAATCATATGCTTGATCTTCATTCAAAACAATGAGAAAGGCGCGTGCAAGTGCCTAACTCTCAGAATATTAGAGCATGTGCTCCACTGTTTAAAATCATTATGAAAAAACTAATTTAATAATTTTGCTACTTTTTTATCCTTTCTCTTCTATTAATTCTACTTGCCAATTCTTCTTGTATCTTTTGTCTGCTGCAAATGCTTTAACAGACTGCAGCAACAATGCTTATAATACTCTTTGTCCTTCATTGTCAACGTACATTTTTAGCTTTCTTCTGCTCATTTTGCCTCATGTAAGATGGACCAGACTTGCTTTTATCAGACTTGCCCCTTGCAATTTTTGCTACACTCTGCAGCTCTGCTCAGTTACAGTGGTTTCTTTGTCTTTCCATCAATTGAGATGTAAAAAGGGTAATTTAGGAAGGTGGGAGGATATGGAGTGGGAAGTGAGGATGAGGAAATCTTCTTCAAAAAGTTTTCCCTGTTTTTTACCTTGTCATGCAGCCTTATATAAAAACAGCCTCTCCTGGCCATGGCAGACCAGGCTACTTTCTCCCCAGCATACTATGGATTCCTTTCAACAAAACAATAAAGATCTTGCTTAATTTTAAGTGCATGCATAAATTTTATTATCTTCAATAATCACAGGTTAAAGATAAGCACAAGCTGACGTGCTTTGCCAAGTAAGAATGAACTTACAATTGGTTTTAATGTTCTTCATTGCATCTTGGCCTAAAGATTGGCCATACCAGTCTTCCACACTGCTGGAAAGCATTCAAGACTTTCGGTACTGTGTGTTATCGTTCTGTGTCATCTAGTCTGATGTCTCCATAGCCATTTCTTGTTCGCTAAGGAAAAGACTAAGGTTCTGCCTTTGAGTCTGATCCCTGGGTGCCCCTGTCACTAAAGCGTAGCTCAGCACAGCTGAACTGCAACTCTTTCAATAGCTGATCATATGT